GACGTTTTTGACGACATACTAAACTATGACGTTTTTAGTGACGTTTTTGACGACATACTAAACTATGACGTTTTTACGAAATTTTTGACGAGACACAAAACGGTGACGTTTTTACGACGTTTTTGACGGCATACTAAATAATAACTTTTTAGTGACATGCTTGACAACATACATACTGAACTACCAACTAAACTGAAACATAACTGTAGTTTTATTTATTTCTGCAGCCATCTGTGTGGACGGAACCTTCCATAAATACGTGTTCACTCCCGACGGAAACTGCAACCGAGAGGCCTTCGACGTCTATCTGGACATATGCGACGACGACGACTTCTGAGGACGTTTGAACTCGAGGAAACACAAAGAACGGAAACGAACAGACTTAAAGCTTAAAGTTCTGCTCTGAGACGGATAAACGGAAACACAGACTGTTAAATGAAGCGTCTTAATCGATTGTATGTATGGTGTGAATGGAAACTATCAGCCTCGACCTCTGACCGCTCGATGCCACATGTTGTATTTATGGGACGTTACTAATTAAACTGAAATTAAAACCAGTTTCGCTAAGAAATGTACGTTTTATTTTGTTTTGTGTGCATCACTAAGATGCAGCTAACTTTGCCTGTCATTAGCATCTCCTCGTTAGCAACTAGCATCTCCAAACTACTCAGTGAAACTCTTGTTTATGTGTCACTATTGGGCCTGTTAGAGTTACAATACATTTATTTTTAACTTAATTGTTTTAATATCTATCAGACATAATGAACATATTGATTTACTCTGGTGCTCTCGGGTTTAAAATGACACGATAAGAAACTGAAACTACGAATAGACAGTAAAGTGTGGCTTCCTACCTTTGCAGCCAGATTGATTATTTAATCCTTTTACCTCAGATTTTCTATCTGACAGTGACGTTTAGATCAGAATCAGTTTTACTGCCAAGAAGTTTTTCACGTCTGAGGACTTAGACCTGATGTATTTACAGTAAACGCTGATGATTAGCACATTTTTTTTTAAGGCGGATCCAATTGTAAAAGTTAGCGAGAGTTGCACCAGAAATAAGGAGCATTTGTAGCAGATCTATATTTAAAATGTGCAAATTATTTGTTGCAGAATGAGCAAAAAGACAGTAGACAACTTGAGATGTACGAATGATGATAATAAATCACATGGATGTTGCTAGCTCTAGCATCAGGATGCTAACGGCTGCCTGCAGTAAAATGCAAAAGTGCACATTTCTGTTAAAGAGCAGAAGAAGAGCTGATCTCCAGAAGACACCAAGTTAAAGATGGAAACTCCCTTTTACATTTTCAGCAACATAAGTGTCTTATTTTAAAGTAAAGTTAAAGCACCAAACTAAGTAGGAAACCGAAAAGATTTGAGCTTTTGTGTCTTTTTTCCACCGAAGCAGTTAAAGAAAACAGCCAAAGAACCGACTGCAGCAAAACCAACTGTAACATGAAAAAAACAAAACAGAGCTAATCCTGTTAATCTATAGAAGAACAGAAACCAGGAAGTCCGTCTGGTTTGACATCGAAGCAGCAAACTGATGATTTGTGTCATTTCTGCTGCTGCGTCGTGTTTTAATCTGAAGCTGCAGTTTAGAAAAACCTCATCGTCTTTCTAACGGTGTCATTGTTGGTTTTTACGTCTGAAATCATGAAACCTTGACAGCAATTTCTGCACGACCATCTCTTAAGTACAACTTTTACTTTATAAACTATAAATATTTAAAATTGCATCGATGTAACTATGACATTTTTACGACATTTTTGACGACATACTAAACTATGACG